ACAGACAGACAGACAGACAGACAGACAGACAGAAAGACAGACAGACAGACAGACAGAGAATGAGAAACATAGAGAGAGAAAGAGAAGGGGGAGATACTAGCATTTATATTAGTATGTACAGGATTTTAAGATTTGACAAAGGAACATTATTTTCAGTGTCTATCTATTAGGGTTATTGCCTGATGTGCTTTTCTGTAATGGATCATCTGACAAACAACGTATCTGCTTCAAATACCACACTGTAGGATTTAATTAGCAATAAACTTGTTATGTTCCTCAGTTTTTTTTATCACAGATCCTCAAGGAAACTGGGCGATTTTCTTATAAAACTGATTTGTTTGAAAGTACATTGAACGTACCCAAACAGAACTATTACTAGAGCTTGGAGCTGTGACGTATCGGTTGGGGGGGGGGGTAATGACGGAGAGGTTTAGAAGGGCCACTGTTACAGCGGTATGGTATAAATACTAATAATACGGTTCTACTGTGTAGAACTGTAGAAATAACGATATTGCACTCTTGTGTCGTGTTTGGACGCACTACCTAGCGTGAAAAGGCAAGAAATCGCAGATATCATAGGTAAAAAGTTGGTCTGCGTGAAAATCATTTCAACCCATTTGTTAATCTCCCAAATTCGCATGACAATCCCGTGTGTTACCGAAGAAATAAGTTTCTTATTTTTTAAAACTGTATAGTGGTAAGGTTTCTTTATTTGTGCCGTATATCTATGCACCGCTCTTAGGGTGCACACACAAGACCAGTGCAATGATTAATTTACGGTTTCCTAGCCTACACTTTGCTCATTTTGAGACGATAATAAGTTAAATATCAAATAATGAAACTAGTCTCAACACAATTCACTAGAGCCTTGGCATCACCCACGAAATCCAATCCGCACGCATTGCGTTACATAAGCGGTTTTATTGCTCTCAGTCAGTGTCGCCAAGAGGATACACAGCGTAAAGTGTAAGATTTCCTAAAGAACAAGTTGTCAGGCTGACAACACAACAACCGCGCACAGTTTACACATCGAGCGGACAGCCGTGGACGACTTTCCTTCTACAAAGACTATATTGTGCATATCATGATTGTGGGGGGGGGGTGTGGCAGAACTTTCGGCAATACCCATAGATGTACACTATAGTACTAGATACAGTACGCCCCTCTCTCGCCTTGCTGCGCGATGGCCACATTTGAAAGCGATGTCCGCCATGTTTTTTGTGGCAAGTTGTGTGAAGGAGTTCATGCTAAAGCAATGGGCTAGGCATGTTTTCTCTCTCTCTCATACGCAACAGGCGAAGCTTGGTTCTTGCTGATTTTTTTTTTACATGGGCGCCGTGGCGTACTATATCTAAATTACAAAATTGCAATAATACGGCGTTCTTTCTATAACTAGATCTACAAATAAATGTATTATTAAATAGACAGAGATAGAGATATGGGCTTTAAAAAAAAGAAGGAAAAAAAACCAACCTTTATTTCT